CGCAGGGCGCCGCTTCATCCGGAGCGGGGTCCGCGGCTGGCCGGAGGCTGCCCTGGCGAAGCACAGCTTCCCTCCCCACGCTCGCGGAAAGCGATTTCTGCCCTTGTTTCGCTTTCTTTTATCCGCCTCGCCTCACCCCCACCCCTCCGCCCCGGTCTTTGATGCTTGTTGTCGTGAAGGAAGTCTCGGTGGAAAGCTGCGAAAGCGCTTGCTGATCCCCTTCCTCGTTTGTGGTCTCCTTGTCCTTAGTGTTGAGGGAGCATGGTGCTGCTGCCAAGCGCTTCATAAATATTTGCCTTAATGGACACCCAAATGGATGAGGTGTCCTCTGTCCAAGTAGTTTCTGATAGTGGAAACAGCAGTAATGTGGTATTAAATACAGCCTGGATCATGTCGTGTGAGGGATCTTCATGAGAAGATCGTGGTACCTACCTGAGGTGAGCGAGGGGTAAGAAACCAGGTCTGGTTAGTGGCCGTGTCCTGCTGCACCTGCGGCCTCACCGACTACATCTCCTTGTCTCCCTGTCGGCCTCTGTTTCTTCACTGATGGAGACACGTGTAATTTTGGGAGTTGTTTGGTGGTTGGACATGAGGTCATGCTGCATCTCCTTAAGCCATACAAGGCAAAGCAAACCTGAGATTTCCAATCACCATCTTTTAGGCTTCTACAAACTTTCTGATTAAAAATACATATTGCTTTAACCCATTAATAGCTCAAAAGTAGTGAAGACAGTTTTTCTCCATTTTCCTTCATGAAGAAATAACCTTGGATCTGAGATGCAAACTGAAAAAGTCCCAGTTCTGACTAGAAATTCCAAACAGGCTAAATTCACTGTATGTCTTTGCATGAGTTTGTCTCATGAGTGAGTTATCATTATTTGTGTTTCTCGATTCCAGTTCCAAAATAACTTTTTGAAGGGCAGAACGTTTACCTGGAAGCAGAGGCTGGAATGAAAATCAGAAGGACAATTGAAATTTTAATGATATTCTGCCTTGAACAGTTCTGCCACAATAGTACTGTGCTTTTCGGCATGCCTACATCTGCTTTATACTTCTGACACTACCTTCCCATGGCTCACTCAGCTTCTGCCTATCCAAACATAAAGGTCTCCTAAACTCTAATTTTTATTTTGTTGTTGTTGTTCCACTTGCTCCAGCACACATTTTTTTTCTTAAGGCTGTTTTACCTGTGAGCCTTTCTATTTTTTGTTAACTGCTTTTTCAGCATTATCTTTAGTGAAACCTTGTTCTAGTTTCCTGCCATCTTTGCAGAAGTTGCCCCAAACCATATTGTACTTTCCTGTCTATCAAATGAATTCACTGGCTCTTGTGGTCTCTCGGCACTTGGTGCTGAAGATGCTGAAATTTAGCTGCGCTTTTTTTCTCTTTACATTTCCTTCTCCCTTTTTCTGATCATTCCTTGCCTCTCCACTTCTTTAAATACAGCAAAAAGTGAGATCTTCAGCTTTCTCGCCAGCCTTCCTCATTGTCTCCAGTGATAATGCTGTCACTTGGTCGTCCAGTGAATCTTCTGTCTGGCCTAGGTACAGGAGGGATGAAGCAACCTTCAAGTCACTGGCTCCGTTGTATGGGGGAGAGAGAGTGGTGAGGGGAAAAAAGCTTAAGTGAGCAACAGCAGGAGGGGTAAGAGTTCAGCAGCTTTGGCTCGTGCAGGAATCAGCTACTTCGCCTTTGACTCTTCAGATGCAGGGACTCCTTCACCTGCTTGGCTGCCTACCTACTTTGTGATGGGGAAGCCAGCAAAAAGGAGACCATGTTATGGGAGACTGTCATTAGCCAATATTTGTAGGGGTAAAGGGAGAAGAATTTTGCTGGGAGGAGTAAAGATACCAGCCTTCAGCCTGAGTGATTGGCAAAAAAGCCAGAAAAAACTTGAAAAACGTTTCCAAGGAAGCCTTTCGGAAAAGGTGTAGCAGAAGATCCAGTGGGTCAGGTTCCCTTTTTATAGGTCCCCAGCTAGTGGCTACAGGGAACTGTTTACATCCATGCAGTGACTGCTGAGTAAGCTTGTTTGTAAACCTCTTACAATAAAATTGCAGTTTGCCATTTCAGTTGTGTGCTGGTATCTGTGTTATCCTTTACCCATGCTCAAAGCCAACTTCACGATCTCTGGTATCACTGAAGATTTTAGCTTTAGGATATGTCTTTTTTTGCCTTTGCTTTTTCCTTTCCATGGCTGCTGGCTTATTCTTTTTGCTCAGACTAACAGAGAGTACCCAGAGCTGCAACATTGCTGAATTACCTGAAGAGCACCTGATCCTTTTCGTAAGTTAAAATCCCTCCCACTTATATGCGGTATCTGTTAATGTTCTGCTTGCTTCCTGCACGCAGAATGTTTTTCTTTCTGACTAGCCTCAGGGGCTTTCTTACATTGTTTCCCATTCCTGGAGTTATGCCTTTCCTGTGTTTATTTTTTAAATAAGGAAACTCTTTCCTTATTTGGACTAATTTTTCATAATGTCATACTTACTATTTCTATTTAAGTAGGGTTTTTCTTCCATGGGCTTCAGATCCCTTTGCTGGGGTGGGAAAATATTATTATTTCATAGGTGAGATGGCTGGTTCATCAGTTGCTCTCTGAGAGATCATCTGATGCATTACTTGCACAAGGCCCATGCTGGATAAAGAACAGCTTGTTGCCTGTGAAACATGCCGTGTAAAGCTGACACTGGGAAGGAACGAAGGCATTTTGAGGAAGTAACTGACATGCTAAATTTCCTGTTCAATGAAGGTGTCTGCACTCTCTTTCTCAGTTTCCTTTGTGCAGTATAAGGTTACATAAAATAATCTGAAGTGTTCACTGTGATTCATCTGTTACAATGAATCAGATTTAATTTACAGTAAAGTTATTTCTCAGGATTAAATGTGCCACTGCTAACCCATGAAATACATGATTGTTAAAAGAGCAGGAAGTTTTAAAACTAGATTCAAAACTAATATAAGAAAGGCAAAGCTTACAAAAGGTTAACTAGCATAGAAGAAGTCACTGTCATCCATTTGTTCAGTTCTGGGCAGAGAGAAGCGGTTGCTCTTTCATTAGGGCAATGGCGGAAACATTTCCTTCTGCGTTTTAGTACTTTATGTCTGAATTTGGAGCAGGAATCTTAACACACAGCACTGGGGTTAAAAGTTAGATTTTAACACTGGTAAAGTAAGCACCCTCTCTTCTCAGTTGTCACTTTGCTATTCAGGTTTTGAATGCAGGGCTGTCTGGAAGGAAGGTCTCACCAGTCTAGACTGACACAAGGTCAGACCATCGCTGTCTGCGCAGGCCAAAGCTTATGGAGCTTATGGAGATTGTTCAGAGGTCCAAAGTATTCTAAGCATATCACAACAAGCCAGCCTGGGACATGACAAAAAGATCATCCAGTTCCTCTCTGGAGCTACTGTGGTATCTAGACGAGCCAAAGAATTGCCAGCTGTGGGCAGGTCTGTGGATGCAACTGCTGCTGTAGAGCTGGAGGAGTAAGCCCAGCAGCTAAACACATGTGGCAGTCCCCATGCTGTGCTGCACAGAATGGTAGTTCCTAAGCTTTTTGGAATAACAGACCATTGTCACACCTCCTCTCTTGTGGCTGCTCATCCTAATTGTGCTCAATAGTTTTTACTATTAAAGATGATCATGTGTGTATGCCATACCCCAGGACAGGCAGTAATATGAAAATAATTCAAACGATCATTTCAAAATAGCTCAACAAGCTGGTATTTGTCCTGAAGTTATGCACCGGTACATCTGTTTTTTTCCCTGATATGAAGGAAATACCTAGTG